CAGAATTACAATCAAACTTCAACTTCCAAGTAAGTTTCGTTTAATTTCCAATTTGAGGTGCGCGATGGCAAAGTGGCGACTATCGCGAGACAATTGCTCTGCAAAAATCGCAAGTGTAAACGGGGCTTCACATACTTGTCCCACAAATATATTTCCTGCAGCTGTGAGAGACTCAACGCCAGAGATCTTCATTGTTATTTGCATAAGCCAGGCTATCTTTGAGATCAGCAAAGGCATGATTCCCAGATAGTACAAAACTGAGATGACGGAACTGAAGAATATGATCACTGGGAGAATCTGAAAGACAATTTAATGACATATAAAGCAGGTATCATAAAGGGTGAAAGCGATCCCTGTCCCATCTTGAAAGGGGAAGCCTAGGTCTTTGTAAGACCACCATGATTTTGCAAAGAAGAAATTATGATTCTCGTAGGAAACGATGTAAAGATGTAAAGATGCAGTCATGGAAATGATTTTCCATTGTGTTTACCTTGATAATTATTATTCACGGTTATTGTAACAAGTAACACCTTAACAAACATTTAAGTGATCTTAATGTTAGGCAAACAAAGAAATAAATAGCAATAAGCTTTCAAAATATCATGATGTAGTTCACCTTGAATGCAATGGTATGTTCCTCGTAGTCATCACCAAAAACAAATTTTGTCCCAGCATTTGTATAGTCAAGAAAAGTTGTAACTTGTTTGCCGAGGAAGTCAAATGCTGCATAACCATGTTTGGTACGTAAGATAATGAAAGCCAAGAATACTTGTAGAGCTATTCCCCACAGTACTGGACGCCAACGTACCTGAAAGAAAAAGCTACATGAGCAATAGTGAAAAACCATTTCCAAAACACAAAAACAATTACCTCCTCTGAAATGAGCTAGTAAAGAAAATCTGAAAATTAATACTTATTATTAATTTAATTTATTGAGTGACAAGGTGAATGTCTTTTTCTCTTATATTTTACAGTCTTCAGCCATTGCAAATTAGAAATTGCAGCTCCAGTTTGACGTTTTTGCTCCTGATTATAATTTCATGGCATAGTGCTCTGGTAATTGGTGAGGTTATTAGAAGAAGTCATCCAATGGCTTGTTGAAAACAGGAAAAAAAAATACAAATTGTGATATAATTGTTCTTTTAAAAATGATACAGCCAGTCAGAAAATTTGTTTTGAGGGATGTAAAGATGTACCACTGACTATCAGCAGCAAAGGTGTATATGATCTGGTAGGACTTAGTTTAAAATAGTATAATGGATTGCAGTATTGCATTAATTTTTCTTTATACCAATAGCCAACTTACATACAAAGTCACATACAAAGGAATCAAGACGAGGCGCCATGCTTTTTTGTGAAAAATCTATTGTCTTTAGCACGGCGCCTCGTCTTGATTCCTTTGTATGTGACTAGTGATGCGTAATTCGCAAGTCGGCTATTAAAATACCTTTCTTCTGTTGGCTGAGAAAATGTAACATATTCCAAGGAACACAACCATACCAACAAGAGAGATCAACTTTTTGGGGTTTTTATAAGTGTCATACCATATCCATATTGCAAACAATCCCAATACTATTACCAAGAGAACCCTGGAATATATCAAATATATGATGACGATGATTAATGATGATGATGATAAACTCTCATGACTCAGGCTGTCATCCTTAAGGGCTTACATTAATTGCCAGTCATAATGAACTAGAACTACAGCAACAATAATAATAATTAATAATAACAATA